CCTGCCCTCACAAACTAGTTCTTCAAACGAAAAGACTCCTCCCCTGGACTGACAGGTCCTGCTTTGATTCCCGGTCAGGGCACATGCCCGGGTTGTGGGTTCAATTCCCAGTAGGGGGCGTGCAGGAGGCAGCCGATGGATGTTTTTCACATCAATGTTTCTCTCTCTCTCCCCCTTCCTTTCTCTCTAAAAAAATCAATTAAAAAAAATTTTTTTTAAAAAAATGGAAGAAGAAAAAGCCTTTACACTATGGTTAATATTTTCAGTACCTGTTCAAACCCAGCTGGCTGCCGTCTGGGTCCGAGCGCATCTCTGCCATCCAGTGGCACAGCGTCGGTGACCACCATCAGTGACCGCTCCTTGACAGGTCCCGTAGACCACAGCTCTCAACGTATCAACGTCCTGGGCATGTGTAAGTGATCAGTCCATTCTTCTCCAAATTCTCTTCAAATTACATAAATTTCTGGCTCCATGTAACTGCTCGATTCTCAGTACATTTAAGAAACTCTCTTCTTGTGTTTTCCAAGGTCCGTCTGCTGTCCCTTGTCTTCCTCTCGGCACACCACCCAGACTGCCTTGGTGATTTCTGATGTTGAAACACCCCTACGAACGGAGATTTCAGAAAAGGATCCCTCTCGAGCCCACCTTCTGTCTTCCAGCCACATCGATAGGAGTGTCTATTACCTGCCAACATTTCTTCAGCTGAGGTTTCGTCTTTCTCCCCGAAGCCTCACTTCATTTGGTTCCCTATGCTAGGTAACGAAGCTACTGCACAGTGTGACCCCAGCTTTGCCTTGGGCAGCCTTTTTTATTATTATTATTATTATTGATTTTTTGGAGAAAGAGGAAGGGAAAGAGAGAGAGAAACATCAACCTGAGGGAGAACATTGCTTGGCTGCCTCCTGCACGCCCCCTACTGGGGATCGAGGCTGCAACTCAGGCCAGAGCTCTGACCAGGAATCGAACCCGGACCTCTCAGTCCATGGGACGATGCTCAATCTACTGAGCGACACCCTTCGGGCTGGGCAGCCTTCTTAAACCAGGGGTTCTTAACCAAGATTTACTTTAAATAAATTTGAAGATCGGGAAGAGTCTACTTGAGAGGAATGGAGATCATTAAAATAACCCTCAAACCTCTCGGCAAAACTTTGTGTTTGTATACTGATAACATTTTCCAAGTCAGCCTCTTATCTGATACTCAAAAGTCTGTGAACTCTAAAAATTCAAGAATGGTCCCCTCCCCTTCGACCTTCACTGACCATGTTACAAAGTTCTGTCCAGTGTGCTTCAGTGCCCACCTGAGCCATGCCTCCCCCTGCGGTCAGCGAGTCCTGTGTGACCGTCTTCCCGCCGTTGCTTCAGAAGAGTGTCTGTCTCCCATCTGACAGATTCTCCACGTGGCTGAACCACTCAGCTCTCCAAAGAACAGAAGTGATGACATGTCTTTCCTGCCCCTGGCCCTCCAAAGGCCCAGCATCACTTTCAGAACGACTCTTGGGTGTGGCGCACGAGGCCTTCATGACTGTTCCCCACCTGACTCCCTGACCAGCGCTCCCTGACCCTCAGCACCCTTCCGGACTGGTCACACGTCACTCCCTCCTTCTCTTTACAGTCCATGGACGACACTCTTCCCAGGCTGTCTCCCACCCCAGCCCACCCCAAGGTGCCTCCTATGGCCCACCCCTGCCAAGCCACCTGTAGTCAACCATCGATGTCCTTCCAAACCTCCAGGGTGATTGTGTCTGCGTGTTTGCACTGGGTTCACCTTCACCCTGTAGTCCCTGGCGAATGCCTTCTCTTCCCCAGGACTCCTTTCTGTGAACACCGTGTGACCATCAGCCTCTGGACCACAGACACCAGTGGGCCCTCCCTGCACACTGGACAGTCCTCTGGTGACTCCTGCCACACAGAGCTCTCAGTTCCTCGTCCAACAAATCGTGGTCGTGTTTCAGCTTCTGTGCCAGCACTCACGTTGCCTTGGACAGAGATTCAGTGGCCGAGAAGGTGCTCAGTAAGCACGCACAACCCGCCAGCAGACCGCTGGTGCTCAGGACGGGACCACGCGACAGGAGACGGTTTTACTCACATCGTCGTAAGCTGGTAGGGTCACAGACAGTAGACAGATAAGCACGCAAATAATTATTCAGTTGTTTTTGCGACAGGTACTAGGAAGGGAAAGAATTCATTTTGCGAGGGAAAATCATTTTTATCGGCAGCATTTTTTCCCTTTTCCTGGTATGAACAATAATGATGCGTCTGACCATTGACCTGGTATTAAACACAATGAAACGTTGCAAATGTCCAGACATTTTAAAGTATTATTACCCTGCTGCCCTGAATATTTCAGAACACTCTCTTATAAATAAGAATGTTCTCCCATGAAATTGGGGTATCGTTATCACACCTCAGAAAATTTAAAAAATACTCTTTAATGCCGTCTAAAATTCAACCCACATTCAGGCTTCTGATTATCTCAACAATGTCTCATGGAGTTGCTCCTTCCTTCACTAGAATTGAACCAAGGTCTGTGTGTTGCTTTTGGCTAAATGATGTTATTGTCAGCACTGTGTACTCAGTAGAAACAATATTTTTCTGATAAAACTCTGTTTTAGGAATTGTCTATTTTACTGTCATCTTATTTTTATTTGTGGTGCTTCTTTTTTTAACAACTTTATTGAAGTATATTTTACATATCATCAATTTCACCCATTTCAAATGTACAATTCAGTGATTTTTTAGTAACTTGCCTAAGTGATACAACCATCGCCATAAATCAGTTTCAGAACACGTTCATCCCCACAAGAAATATTTTCTTCTGTTTATGGTTAATCCCCATCCGCACCAGGCAGCCACTTTCTAGCTATCAAGTTGCCTTTTAAGGACATATCAGTGGAATCATGCAGTTGTGGTCACTCTTTTACTTAGCATAATATTTTTAGGGGGGTCTTGTTTTAAAACCTTCAAGGTACTGGCAACCCCACCATGTCTGTCCTATCCTCAGCATTGAAACCAGCTCACTGGGCTCCTGTGAACCCCCTAACTGCACCCCCATTGTCTGGCGTCAAAGCAGACAAAGCCCGGTTCCATTTTCTCTCTACCTTGACATCTTTTTCCTCCACCACATAGTGACATTTTGACCGTTCCTACAGCTTCTATTGTCATAATTTTGGAAGACTGTCTCTTCAACCCACTATCTACCTTCTGCTCCTCACCTGACATGAGAACATGCTGTATTCATTGGGGTTCTTTATTTTGGAAGGATCAAAATCCAACATAAAGTGGGGTCTAGATTTTTAGGGAGTCTAATACAGGTAGACTCCAGGTAGCAAGCCATATTATCAGGATTTGGTGGATAGATGATTGATAGATAGATGATAGATAGATAGATAGATAGATAGATAGATAGATAGATAGATGATTGATAGGTAGATGATCGATGATAGATAGATGATTGATAGGTAGATAGATGATAGATAGATAGATAGATAGATAGATAAATAGATATAGATAGATAGATAGATGATTGATAAGTAGATGATAGATAGATGATTGATAATAGGCAGATTGATAGGCAGGCATATAAAGATACAGATACAGTTCTATTGATGTCGTATCTCTTCCTTTTCAGTGTTTGACTCTGTTTTTCTTTGGTTAACTTTACTCTTAGATAGGTTTTCTTAAGATACCATTGCGTTATCTCCTAAAACTTAGCAAACCAAAAAGAAGAAAAGTTCTCTTGCCTAACAGAAAATACCTTTATCAAGGGTCCTAAATGGACCCAAGGTAGATAAGCCACCCACCCGGGAAATGATCGCCCTGATTTTGACTGCCCGAGGTTGGCCTGGAGCCCATTCCCGGAGCTGGGGCGGGATGCATCCCATCACAGAACATGGGTTGAGAGTGTCAGAATTTGGTTCCCAAAAGGAAAGCGTGAGCTGGTATCAGAAAGAGAGAAAATTGGGCACTAGACAGGAGTAAATAGCCTCTGTCTCCCAGTAGGCACACTTTCTGTACAGGGCCAGGGGGTAAAACTGTTGGCTGAGTGGGCCCTGCGTTATCTGCCGCAACCACTCAATCCCGCCGGTGCCAAAGGAGCCAGAGACGGCGTGTGCCCAGATGACCGTGACCATGGGCCAAGACAACTCTGCACAAAGTCAGCAGGAGGCTGGAGGTTGCTAGCCTGTGTTCTGCATCCAGCCCACGCCCAGGGACAACGGTTGTGCCCTGACCGGGAATCGAACCAGCGACCTCTTGGTGCATGGGTCGACGCTCAACCACTGAGCCACATCGGCCAGACAGAATGGCAAAAATATTAAAAGGTATTGAGGGAAATTAAAATTTTACCCCATATACTCATATGACCCTATTTCTAATTAAAATTTTAACCTTTGCTAAAATTTTCGAGCAGAATATTCCTTTACCTAGGGCAATTATATCCTTACTGCATGGCTATTTGAAAAACTAATAATCCTTAGAAAATAGGAACAATTTCATATCTCCAACCTAAAGTGTCAAAATATAGTAATAATTACTAATAATATTTCTAAGATTTTGACAATGAATTGTAAAAGTAGAAAAGGTGAGTTATTAGAGATTATAAAACTCTATATTCAAAATACCTATACTTACCATGATAAATACAAAATTTTTATAGTCTGTTACTTGCTTTTTACAGCCTAAATTCATTTATAAATATAATTCTTTATTACGAATTTGTGTACTGCCGCTACTTGATTATAATAATTACCATATTCATTTTGCCACCTCCTCCCATGGCCTGAATTTAATACTTATTGTATTTTTATTATCGTTTGTGAAATGCACATGAGTAGCCTCCCCGTCCACCGAGGTCACTTCATCCCCCTCCAACACCTGTGTCAGAATTGCCAGCATCTCTGACTTCTTTCCAGGACAGGAAAGGTGTTGCTTTTTGAGAATAGGGGTGCTCTTTATGTGGGTGCCTTGAAAAGGTGAAACATGGTGATTCTGGTAAACCGAGGTCACGCCAATGGGGACACAATGAACACCTTGATTTGCACACGGCTACTGGGTTCAGCCTGCTGCATGAAGGTCTCAGGTTTGGTAACATCACCCACGTCACACCTCACAGCTGGACAGGTCTGCTTGTCTGACTGCCCGCCACACCACCAGTCCTGTGGTGCCAGCCCTCTGCAGTCCCCGTGTTGGTGTCTCTGGGGCCTTCCTGGTCCCTGTGGGCAAGCACGGGCGGATCCTCCGCGGCTATGGAAAGTGTCCTGCGTGGGAAGCAGGCGAACTGGCATCCAGGGCCCCTTTGCGCCTGGTAAGCAAACAACGGCCACGTTGGCAAACCCTGCTGGAGCCCAGATTCCGCATCTGCTAAGTGGGGAGAAGAACATTAGTCCAACTTGACCAGAAGGTTGAAGAGCTCGGCTGAAACCCTTGATGTGCAGGTAGGGGGACACGGTGAAGGCCCTGTGTGGAAGGAGGGGGCGCCGCGGAGTCTTCCGCACGAGCGCGCACTGCGCCTGGCGGCTGGCACGGGCCCAGCTGCGGAAGGTCTCTGTGCGCTGTGAGCAGGGCACCTCGTGCGAGCGGACAGGGGACAGGGTGCTGCGCTTCCCCAGGCGCGAGGAACACCAGCAACGGTGCCTGAGAACAGGAAGGAGGCGCAGGAACAGCGGCGCGGACAGCGTGGTGGGTGAGCGCGCGGCCCTCTGCGTACTCGGGACACCGCCGTCCGGGCCGCGCTTTGCGGAGCACAGGCGCCACGTGTCGCCCGTGACGTGGGTCTGAACTCAGTGTGAATGTACAGCCTCACGCTGTGACCCAGGCTTCCAAACCACAGTAGGGCGTTCACGGCTCTGACAAGTCCTGTGATAAAGAAACCCAATTAACTTTGTTTACGTGAGAAACTCCCCAAGGTGTTTGACCAGGGATCCTGTGGAAATGGGGGAAATACCAACGTTCAAAGAAGTCAGTAGGGTTCTCCAGGCCGTGCTGAGGAGGCCGCTCCAGGTCCACGGTGAACAGGGCCTGAGAGGAGGAGCCGCCGAGGGCCACCCAGGCGGATGACGCACCGGTGACAGCCAGGGAAGGAGGGGAGAGGCCTGTCCAGGTCAGGGGCCGGTGAAGCCTGTGCGGACGGCAGAAGCAGCCACGGCCCATGTCGATCACATCCCCATCCTGGGTCCTCACTGGGGCAGACCTTCCATGAACCTTTGGAATTACCTTCCCAGAATCAGAAAACGGGTTGGGGTTTGGAGGGCAGTGGGGGGAACAGAGTGAGCGACACAGAGGAGGAGATGCTCAGGCGGGGCGGGTCCAGGGCGTCTCCCTCCTGGGGGAGTTGACACTCAAGGGAGAATCACCGGCGGGTGTTTCACACACTCGCACTTGCCGGAACCATGGTCCCGCGTGCACGCTGGAGAACCACGTACGTACCTGTACGTACGTAGGACGGAGTCCCGACCAGAGAGGAAAAAGCCCTGAGAAACGGAATCAAAGAAACGGGTGCAGGTGAGAAGGAACAGGGGTCACTGTGGGCGAAAGACCTCACCTCTCCAGGAAAGGACAGGGACCCTCTGCAAGAATCCTCACCCGCCTTTTGAAACCGGGGAATCTTATTTCTAATGGTGCCCAACCGACTCCGATTCCTGGGCTATTTTATCTCATTATTTTCTAAGAGGAAATGAACCGGAATGCAGCACTTAGGTAATTAGCTTGGCTATTGTCTCCTGTTAAGGATGTAACCTAGTGTCTGTTTCCAGATCTGCTGATACCTTCCCAGGTCTCTGTTTCTGTGCTCTGAAGATAATCTTTAGCAGTCAAATATGTTTCCTAGTTAATTCAGCTGTGGCCTCGCATGTAATGCCATCTGGAACCACTCGTTTTATTTTGTTTGAATTATCCAAGTGTGCTTTTTACCTGAATTTCGACAGCAGCTATTTTTACAAAGTCTTCATTATCTTCTCATTTTCTGGAACGTGTTTCTTCCTTTCTCCGGTATTTTTAAAGGAATGATTAAAGCGACTAAAAGAATTAAAGCTCTGTGAAATGTACTCCTTTGAAACGTCTCAATTTTTAACCACCAACGTCAATAAAATTTTGTGGAAACAATATTCACTTATTAATTCTCTTCCACATGCTTAATTATAAGCCTCTTCAAAGATTATTTTAAAAACCTTCATTTTCAAATCAGCAGGATATTGATTTAATGTGCTTTGAGTGATATTTAATAAAACCAAGTCACAAACAATTATTTCAATAACTCATACAAACAATTATTTCAATAACGCATGCGAACAATTATTTCAATAACTCATAAAGGCATAACTCATGCCTTCTTCCTTATGTCTAAATCCTCATGTAAGCCCACCTCCTGGGACACTCGGCCCTCTGGGGCTTTGAACATCTGCACCCACAGTTCTTCCCACATCTCCTGGTACCCACCTGTCCCTGCCCTGCCCTGCCTTGGAGCGCCAGTCCTTGAGGAATATCTTAATCGTCTGCCCATTGAACTTCTACCTGCCCCTCAGCTTTGTGCCCGCTGAGCACGCTGCCTGCAGTGGGCCCTCCGCCTCACCTGAGGCCACCACACTGGCTTTTGGCTGGATTTTCTCCAGTCACCTGTCAGATCCTTCTGTTGACAGGCTTTGGTTTTGGAGTGGATCTCCGCAGTCTCTCCAAGTGGTCATTGTAGAGAGCAAATTCCTTTTGGCCTTGATCTTTCTCAGTCTAGTTGGTCATAATAACAACCAGGCCAGGTTGGATGAAAGCTATGCTTCAGGTTTGTTTTTTTGTATCTGAATAAAATTCAACTATCAAACAGCAGCGCATTACAAGGAGTATATAATTAACCAGATTGCAATTGTGCTTTAAAAATTAATAGAAGGAGTAACAAGGTGTGTGCAGAGAAGTTTGTACACGGTGAGGGAGGTCTTCCGGGCCAAGGCAGTGGCAGATTCCAGGGCCTGGAGGCAGGAGGGTGCAGGGCGGTCTGAGGTCATGAGCAGCGTGGGTGGGATGGACTGGCCAGGCGCAGAACTTGGTCAAGGGCTCTCGCCATGGTAGGCAACCTGAATGTCCTCCTGGGAAACGTTCTCTATAAAAAATATTGAGGGCAGGAGTCACAGAATCAGATTATTCCATAAAAACCATCTTGCAGTCTTGTAGAAGAGATGAGACTGGAGGCAGGGAGACCAGTAAGGGGCTTTGGCTTTGTCAAAGGAAAACAAAAAGAAATACACGGGTTAGGAGTGTGGCTCAGACCAGAGGAATGGAAGTGAGAAATAATCCAGACAGGTCATGGCTAACAGGGAGTGGGGGCTTGTTTGGGGAAGACATGAAAGGGACAATGTCCAGGTTTCTGAGTTGGAAAGATTGGAAGAGACAATGAAGGCATGGCACAGAAATTCACAATTCATTCATTCATTCATTCATTCATTCATTCATTCATACTTCAGCAAACACACAGTCACTCCTAAGTGTCTACATTATGAAAGGAACACTTGGGACACTCGGTTCGATATATGACTCTGGAAGTCGGTCGGACAGTGGGCTGGGACTCATCCGCACGTGGGCAGGAAGTGAACGCCGTGGAAATGGACGGAAGGGGCGGGGACCGTTGGGGAGACTGGGAGAGAAGAGGGCCGGAGAAGGCAAACTGCAGGCCTCCTGAGAAAGCCTGGTTCAGGTTCCTCCAAAATGTTCTCAAAGAGTAAAACTTGGAAACAATATTGGGACAAGATTTAAAAGTTCAATCAGGTCCGTGAATTAGCAGGAGTATTGCGTCAATGTTAGGTACCCTGATATTAATACATGTACTACGAGTATTTAAGAGGATGACCTTCGTTTTCCTTGGGAGGTGCACTCCAAAGTGTTTAAGGGTAAAGAGGCATTATGTCTGCCACTTGCTGTCTAATGGTTTGGGAGAATATGATAGCGATCTATCCATACCCATATCTATATTTAGCCTAAAGTTATAATTTTTACAATTATATATAAAAATTACATACATATGTGTATGTGTGTGTGTGTGTGTGTGTGTGTGTGTGTGTATATATATAGAGAGAGAGAGAATGGGAAATGGAGTCAAATATAAACCATTAGTAAATGTGCATAAAGGATACACAGGTCTTAGTTATCTATTCTTACAATTTTTCTGTAGCTTTAAATTATTTAAAACTATGAGTGTATCTCAAAGTTAAAATTTTATATACATACTTGTGTAAATGGGGTCATTTTGGAAAGGTTAAATGGAAGAGTAGAAATTGTCATGAGAGAGAAAGTTTTAAGGAGACTGTGGAATATAAATAAAGTAAGAAAACATGCCTCGTACTAATAGGCATGTGGGATCTGACCCATTCTTTAATAACCACTCCTTGAGAAAAAAAAAAAAAGCAAAACTTACATAAGCAAAAGGATAGAGCTGGAATATTAACATTCTGGGCAAAGTCAGCAGGTGGAGAGGTTACCTAGGCGTCAGGGACTTCTGATCACTGAGAGTTCCATGTCTGTGATGAGTGTCGGCTCGGCCTGAAATATACTCACTGGCAGTTAGGGTCTCGGGGTCCCCGTCTGACAGGTGTGTTAGGGCTCCGTTTGCTCAGAGTCAGCCTTGATGAGCTCAGCAGAGACCTTTTCACCTTCACACTTGTTGGTGTATTGTACAGTCTGACCATTCTACCTTTGTGACATTCATGTGACTATACATACATATCATTCCAAGGACAGCAAGTACGTTAATTCGAGCATAGTCGTCTTGCTACCTTTTAATTTATTCTGGCTACAATAAAATTAATGATTGTCTTAAAGATTATACTCATTCGTTCTCTATAGAAGAAAATTCTATTAGTTGCAAGTTAAGCGGGAACTTACAAGTCCGAGGTATGACAAGGAGCTCTGTGCTGGGACACAGTACCACCTCCGGGGGACACGGCAAACAGAAATGGATGCGCCCCGAGCATTCTTAATCTCTTTTCACTGTGTGTGCGTGTTTGTTTTAATCTCCTCTCACAACAGAAAACTTCCTCTTCATGATTCATAATTACTCAGAGACCTAATTTTATAGAAAAGATAAATAAATCTCAGGCAGAACCTGGGTGTGTTAAAAATATACCATTACCCTGTTCATTAATGTCACATGGAATGTCGGGCCGATTCATGGAACAACTGCATTTTTACATCCAAAAGGATGAGGTTGGACCCCTTACCTCACACCATACACCATAATTAACACAAAATGTATCGGCAGCCTACGTGTATTAGCTGAAACCACGAAACTCCTGGAGAAAAGCACAGGAGGAAAGAAGTATGCCCCTGCGTTTGGCAGTGGATTTTTTAATATAAAACCAGAAGCATGAGCAACAAGAGAAAAAATAATTTGGACTTCATCAAAGTTGAAAACTTTTTATGCATCAAAAAACATTTTGAAGAAAATAAAAGACACTCTACAGAATGTGAGAAAATATTTGCAAAGCATATATTTGATAAGGGTCTATGTTCCAAAATACAACTAAAAAGACAGCTCAGCTGAAACATGAGCCAAGTACTTGACACCAAAGAAAACACACCAATGGCCAACATGCCAGGAGAAGATGCTCCACGTCGTAGTCGTGAAGGACACAGAAACCACAACCGCAGTGAAGTCCCACTTCACGTCCACGGGAATGGCAAGTGTTGGTGAGGACGTGCACAGTCGAACCCTGGTGTCTGACCGCTGGCAAGGTCAAACGCTTCGGCTAAATGGAAAATATTTGGGTGGATCCTCAAAAAGTTAAACATAGAATTGCCAGGAGCAATTCTACTCCTACGTTAATGTCCCTCAAAATTGAAAACAGGTACTTAAATAAATAGATATGATGCATGTGAGACATATATATATGTGTGTGTGTGTATATATATACACACATACATATGTATATGATTAAATAATAGCAATAAAAAGTAGGAAATTCTGATATATGCTACAATGTGGAAGAACGCTGATAACATTATGTTAAGTGATGAACGCTAGATGCAAAATGTCACCCATTTGAAATGTCTGGAATAGGTGACTCTCCAGACAGAAAGCAGAGGTGGTCAGCGGGGCTAGGGGGTGGAGGAACGGTCAGCAACTATTTGAATGGGCCCAAG